TTGAAGATTTAAGTATCACCAACAATTCAGACTAATTTTTTCCATTGTTTAGTTGTAGATTTGTGAATATTCTATTTATCCATTGTTTCCAACAGTTAAGACTCATTTTCTCCTTTAAAATTGCAAGTTTATTGATGATGTATACTAGATATGTCATTAAAATAAGCAACTCACCTTGACCCTAAATAATATGCAAACTTACATATTTTTTCCATTCAAGTTTTATTGTATTAGAGATAAAATATGTAACATTACATTATGTTTGTGAAATTGGGAATGTGTTGTAGGCCTTTTCATTTTCAGAAAATTAAAAATTTTCATTTCCTCAATTTTAGTTTCAATTTTTTTTAATATTTAATTCATGTTGGCATAATTACAATATGAAGTGCCAACTTGTATGGAAAAGGTTATCTGACAAGTTGTAAAAAACGAGGCACAAATTTACCACTATTTGTGCCTGCCTCCTTGAGCACCAAATAGTCTATTGTGCTCTTTTAGCAAAGGCAACGCCTATAGAGGGCACAAATAGAAATATAGTTGCTGCACTATTGCTATTGGTATGGGCACATATGTTGGTGCTCTTTGGCCTCAAGGGGCACAAATAATTTATTGTGTGCAGTGACCATATTTTTTGTAGTGTCTCTCCCTTTCTCATTCCCATTCTAAAAACAAAAATAAAATATGTTTTCACGCACATATGTGGGCATATACTAGTATTTAATTAATAAAATGTATAATTAATTTTAATCATTTAAATCTAGTTATCAGTAAAAAGTAAGGGTAATCTAGGACGACCAAATTTATTTGTAAATTAAATGATGTAGATGTTGATAATTGGATTATTACTTAAGTGTTGATTAACCTGTTTATTTTTTATTGGTGACTGTAGACATCGAAATTTTAGTGAAATAAAGGTTAACCAATGTATTAAAATTACAACATTTATTTCACCTACAACCTCCACTCACTTCACCAACAACCTCCAATCATTTCACCTACATCATCCACTTACTTCACCTACATCATCCACTTACTTCACCTACAACCTCCACTCACTTCACCTACAACCTCCATTCACTTCACCTACATCATCCACTCACTTCACCAAAAAAATGAAAGGTGGTGATTCACTCTCAAAGCCTATAAATAGGCTTCTCCACCTATAAATAGGCTTCTCCATCAAGAGGAATAGGATACCAATTCACAAATACATTTCTCTACTCCCAAAATGGAAGAGAATACTCCCCACACATCCAAAATCCTTGAAGCTTTGAAACTCTAAAGCTCTCAAGCATCCAACCCCCAAATTCCCAAGAATCCCGAAGGATCAAGAAAGCCCTCTTCATTCTTCGTCAAATCCTCCTTCAAGATCAAGCCCCGACGGCCCTTGAAGAAAGTGTTCATCGTTCATCCTAAGATCAAGCCCCAACGGCCCTTTGGATCAACAACACAAACAAATCCACACATCTATCCTTCAAGATCAAGCCCAAAAGCCCTTGAAGAAATCCACACATCTATTCTTTAAGATCAAGCCCAAAAGCCCTTGAAGAAAACCATCCATTCTTCAAGATCAAGCCCAACGCCCCTTGAAGATCCATTCATCAACTGTTCATCCTTAGATCAAGCCCCGACGGCCCCTTGGATCAACAAACAAATCCACACATCTATTCTTCAAGATCAAGCCCAAAAGCCCTTGAAGAAAACCAACTGTTCATTCAAGATCAAGCCCCGATGGCCCTTGAAGAAAACCAACCGTTCTTCAAGATCAAGCCCAAAAGCCCTTGAAGATCCGCTCATCCATCAACATTCAAGATCAAGCCCTGAAGGCCCTTGAAGAAACTTCCATCAACCTTCAAGATCAAAGCCCCAACGCCCCTTGAAGATCCATTCATCAACTATTCATCCTTAGATCAAGCCCCAACGGCCCTTTGGATCAACAACTCATCCACAACACACACCAAAAAACCTTGAAGCCTTAAAGTTCTAAAGCTCTCAAGAAAATCCCGAAGGATCAAGAAAGCACTCTTCGTTCTTCGTCAAATCCTCCTTCAAGATCAAGCCTCGACGGCCCTTGAAGAAAGTGTTCATCGTTCATCCTAAGATCAAGCCCCAACGGCCCTTTGGATCAACAACCTCAACAAATCCACACATTCAATCGTTCTTCAAGATTAAGCCCAAAAGCCCTTGAAGATCCACTCATCCATCAACCTTCAAGATCAAGCCCAAAAGCCCTTGAAGAAATCCACACAACCATTATTTAAGATCAAGCCCCGACGGCCCTTGAAGAAAGTGTTCATCATTCATCATCCGTTCATCCTAAGATCAAGCCCCAACGGCCCTTTAGATCAACAAACTCAACAAATCCACACATCCAATCATTCTTCAAGATTAAGCCCAAAAGCCCTTGAAGATCCGCTCATCCATCAACCTTCAAGATCAAGCCCAAAAGCCCTTGAAGAAATCCACACAACCATTATTCAAGATCAAGCCCCGACGGCCCTTGAAGAAAGTGTTCATCGTTCATCCTAAGATCAAGCCCCAACGGCCCTTTGGATCAACAGCACAAACAAATCCACACATCTATTCTTCAAGATCAAGCCCAAAAGCCCTTGAAGAAAACCAACTGTTCATTCAAGATCAAGCCTCGACGGCCCTTGAAGAAAACCAACCGTTCTTCAAGATCAAGCCCAAAAGCCCTTGAAGATCCGCTCATCCATCAACATTCAAGATCAAGCCCCGAAGGCCCTTGAAGAAACTTCCATCAACCTTCAAGATCAAAGCCACGAAGGTCCTTGAAGAAACTTACAACTGTTCATCCAAGATCAAGCCTCGACGGCCCTTGGATCAACAAATCTACATCTTACGGAGATTGAATCAGAGGACCAAATTTAAGAGATCGTAACCCAAAAATCATAAACACAAAAATATTATTTTGTACACGTATTCTTGTTTTAGGAATTTTTCGTGTTCACAGTGACACATCATTTGGTTTGCAAATTTGGTTCAAAATTTTGGTCTCCCTAGCATTATCCAAAAAGTAAAAGGAGAATGCTATGTAGACCAAACTTTTAAACTAAATTTACAAACCAAATGATGTGTCACCAATAGGAATGAAGCACGTTAATCAACACTTAAGTAATATTCAACCACCACGGGATGATCCAGTGGTGGGAGACGAATTCCAAGCCTGTATTTCACACGGCACATCCTTGGTTCGATTCTTAGCGCTAGTGAATCACACGATGGTGGCTATGAGAGGTCAAAATGTTTCTGAAAGTCTTTCCGGGCCTCAGAAGGGTAGATTGCCATGACGAAGCCACTAGCCGTTTTTTTTTTTTTTTTTTTTTTTTAAAGAAAAACTTAAGTATCAACAACCACATCATTTGATTTACAATTTAATCTCCTTAACATTACCCAAAGTCAAAACAATGTCAAGTCTTAATACAATAAAAAATTAAAAAAAAAAAAAAAAATATATATATATATATATATATATATATATATATATATATATATATATATATATATAGAATAAACAAACGCCCAGCCACCAGAAGGAGCCGAATCACACCTAACTCCTGCAGCCTCCCAATCCTACCGGCCGGCTCCTTCCGCTACAAACGAAATTTGGGATATGGGTTATGTAACCCACTTTTGGATTCATATAAAACGTTTCAGGATTAGGAAGAAAACCCATATAGGATTTCAAGACAACCCCAAATCCACTCCATAAACTTGCCTTAATAGGAATTGGAAGGGGTTCATACCGTACCGACCCAGGATAGATGTAAATACATGCCTTTTAATTGATTTACCACAGCTGAACGATGGGTAGTCACTTTTCATGAAAAAGAAACCCTAAAATTTTGCTCCGAACTTTCATAACATCACTTTAGTTGATGCTCCATTACAGCTTATGTGTCAAAATATTGAATTGAATGATGCTCATTTATAGGGTAAACGCATCTATATATGCATCACAAACCTTTAAAATTAAAGACTAGAGTTCCTTTAACAACAGAGTTGACGGTCTCATCATAATCAAAATTATGTTGTTGATGACAACTTTTGGCAACAAGGCAAACTTTATAGCATTTATTGGTGCCAATGCCATTTTAATTGCGCTTGATACGGATCGAATAGAGACTTGAAAACTCTCATCACGTCCCAAATCAAATTTCGTCAACAGAAAGAGGAATATGGAATGTCTTGTTGAGTTTATTATAATCAAGTTTCATATGGTTAATATGGTACTATATATATGTATATATACCTTATATATTATTTTGCCTAATTACCTTCTATATTAGCATATATAACTCCCCATAAAAGATTTTTGGAATACTACTAACGACACCCATTAACATATATAACATCTATATATATACCATATATATAGATTCTGCCAGTTATACTTCTTATTAGTAGCAGAGGCCCCGGAGGAGAAAAAATAACCAGTCTCTCGCTTCCCTTCTTCACTCTCTTAAACACTTCCCTCTAACTAATTCATCTCACTTCTTCTCATCGAAAGACAGAAAGACGAAGAGGCGACAAAGGAAATTCGAAATTGTGGAGATATCGCTTCGCCTGTCTATATAAAAAATTCTTCCTCGCTGCTTTCTTCATTGTCTATCTAGGGTTAGGGTCTTCTTTTTCTTTTCCTTTTTTTTTTTTTTTGTCAAAGGTTAGGGTTTTCTTTTTCCAATAGAATCAAAATTTAGCTATAGAACTCTAAAATTATTCTCATCGTGGGTTAAAGAATAAGGAACATAAATAAATGGATTAAATTTAGGGTTGATTACGAACTAATTATTTTCCTTTTCTTAATCCCAATTCTCCTAGGGTGTATTCGATTGAGATTTTAGGAATTTTAATTCTTTTACTGAATATTTATCGTTCTCTGACAATTAATTTATGCAAATGAAATGATCACTGATTCTTGTTCTTGTTAATTCCTCTTTGCAGTTTGTTGTGACAAATCAAGTAAAACCTAAAAAAAAATGTCGTCAAACACTCATTCACCGTGCGCTGCGTGCAAGTTTCAACGGCGAAAATGTACGCAAGAATGCGTGTTCGCCCCCTATTTCCCACCAGACCAACCTCAAAAATTCGCTAACGTTCACACCGTTTACGGTGCGAGCAACGTCGGCAAGATCCTGAACGAACTCAATGTTGCATACCGTGAAGATGCAGTGACGTCATTGGCCTATGAGGCAGAGGCTCGTCTTCGGGACCCAGTGTATGGGTGTGTTGGTTTCATCTCATTTCTCCAGAACAGGCTTAGGCAAGTCCAGACTGATCTCTACAACGCCAAGAAAGACCTATCTGCCTATATTGGCCCTCAGGCATTGATGATCCCTCTGTTGGGGGCTACCACTGGTCCTCCGCCCCAGCAGGGCTGCAGGGAAGGCCAGCTTTTGATTCGCGACCAACATCAGCAGCAACTGTTCGAGGCTCATCAGCAAGAGCTTGTGAGGTTCAATATCAATGGGATGGACGCCGCAGCGAGTTTGGTTAATGGAAATGGGTTTAATCAGATTCCCGCAGCTGCTGCTAGTAAAGGTGTGGTGTCTGGTTCATTGGGTTTGGGTGGAGCTTTTGATAATAACCATTATAACCAGATCGAACAACAAGCAGCTGCACATCACCTGAATTCCCTAGACCATCAGCTTCAGGCTCAGCTGATGTTCCAACCACACCCGGCGGCCCTGGAATCACAGCAGAAATCAGTAGGCGAGGAGAGTTGAGATTCTCCCTTGCATGTCTGCCTTCTTCTTCAATAAACAATTTCCCATCCTTGGTATGTACTATGTACCTAGTACACTTTCTTTATTAATTCATCCATAGATCGATAGAGTAAAATTGTACTATAAATTAAAAGAAAGTTGTTATTAGCTCTCCAAAATGATTATCCTACACTCCAATTTTATAAACATATAAATAAAATTTGTATAGAAAGAAGTGTGTGATTATTTTTGAAGTGTCAATAAAAGCCCCGACACCAAAATAAACAAATTAAAATTCTGGTTATTTTTCCTGTTTGGTGGTTTTCTACTGGTTTTATTTGCATTAAGTGATTGTGGTCTTAGGTTTAAGTTTGTGCCCATGAAAGTGCTTCAGAATTAGATGTATGCTTTTCTTAAACGGGCAAATGTTATATAATGCTTTGACGTGCAATTCGAATTAATGTTCCACGACTAAACTTTTAGCCATATCACCTTCTCAATTCTGTAAGATTTTTTTGCCGATAATTGGCATTATATATGGATTCTTACTGGAAAAAATATAAAATCAGTGCCCTATTATCTGATACATATTCTTCCGTCAGTAAAGCATCATTTGCATGCCAAAGTGTGTGTGGGAACAAAACTGATTAGAAATATGGACATCTTGCTTTATTTTTCTAACAAAGGGGAGTTGAAGTACCAATTGTTTGGTATTTAATTTGAAACCAATTTATAGTTTTAGGAAATGATGAATGTAAATATTGAAGCTAATACTCCTTTATTTCAAAAACAAAAAAATAGATCCAAAAGGATACGAAACATGACCTAAACTTAGATCGTATAGGGTTTCTTAGGATTCATGAACAATATTTGATCATCAGTGTACTCTTAATAAGTTTGTTGCCCTTTATCATTTCTTCAAGGTCTACGTATTTACGTACTTGCTGTGCAAAATAAGTTCTTTAAATTTCTTTTCTATTTCCCTTTTTGGAGAGGAGTGTTTTTCTTTGCTCATTGTGGTGAGAAAGTTTGTTTCTGTGTTTTCTGTGCTTTGAATTTGTCTTTGAATTTGCCTTAGTCACTTGAGTTGCAAGCTCTTAGCCCAGTTGTGTGCATGCATTGTATTTGTAATTTGTCCTTTCTATATAGGAAAGGCTCACACATAAACCACTCACAACCTAGAGCTCCAACTACACCATTGTACTCTATCAAGTTTCTCACACGTTCATGATGAGTAACAATCTTTGGCTCTCAAGTTTCTCCGACATTCATTAGTTTGGTGTTTTCTTAAACCTTTGCACCCTTTTGTGTTGGGTTCTCCGGGCACAATCACTTTCTCTTGACAGCAGCCGCCCCTTGACTGAGACACTCTCTCTTGTTGCCTTTGATACGGGACATTCTTGTGTGCTCTGGAGTACTCGGTACTACTAGTGTTTTAACCATTAGATGTACTCATATACTTCTTTGCTTTATCTTTTGTATATTGTAGTTTTCCTTCAGGTTTTATCTTATTTAATTTTGTTGATGAAATGCAAGACATCATGACAAAAACATAGAAGGATGCTCTATGTATCAAAGGAAAATTTTGAATTTGCTACAACATAGAGGTTTAGAACTGCGGAATGTCTTTCAGTACATTGTAAAACTACTCCCGTGATTTATTAATTAAATGACTATTGCTTTACTTATTTCCTCTATTCCCCTCCACTCTTTGCAGTTTAATTTGTAAGTCCAGCACAGAGATGAAGATACATACTGAAAGATAACTCCATTTATGAAACTCCACGAAGATGTGCAAGTGTAGCCAAACACTATAAGTTGGTGAGGGATTGGTTTCGAGCTTAAAGAAAAACTCTGCTTGGTGATGTGATTGAATTGTAAAATCATGTTCTTGAGCAAAGACTTTCTTCCGATATGCATTCTCCATTGGTTTTCTAGTTTATTACTTGTGTTGTCGCAGTGGTTGGCTGGTTGGCTTTGACATTTTACAACGACAATTGTTGTTATTGGTAATAAGCAGTAGTTAATCGTTGTAGTAGTTCTTAGACCCCACTTAATGTGACAGTCGTACTATGTGTTCTGGAGGTCCTATACATGTTTTTAACAAATAAGAGACTTTCATCATGTATTAAGATGAGTTGGGAACCACAATTTGAAAAAATTGTTACTGCATACCTTTACATTCATTGTGATTGTCTCGTTTAGTTATGTATGGAGTATCTAAACATCTTTTTATTTCTTGTATGCCAATTTTACATGTATTAATCAACTTTTTCAGAAACATTTAGAGCTCTGGACCCTAAACCACTACTAGAAATCTTGGCATAGGGCACCTTTTTTGAAGTGTGCCAATGTTAGACATCTGTTAAAGGTGCCCACTGAGCATTAGGCACCAAGTGCGCACACTACCATCAAGAGTTCCCTATAACATAGTTTCTAAAGATCATTAGGCACCAAAACCATCTTCGCGTAAGAAAGCCTTGCCCTATGCCAACATTTCTTGCAGTGAGCCCTTAGCAAATAAACTTTCATGATAACAAGATTGGAGCTGTCAAACTTTTCGGTTGGCACTTGTGATAACACCTATCATGTTACATTCCACTCAGCAATAAAGTTTTCGATTGTCACTTTAAAAAAATTATTGTGCACCCCAATTTTATTTGTATAAGAAAAAGTACAACTCATCCCTGATATAAGGGGTTTAGTCCCGGTTGAATTTCTAATAATACAAAACACCCCTAGACATGTCTAGCAATACATGCTGAGGATGGCATCTGTATGCTCTTGCACCACCTTAAAAGCCATGACTACGTGTTTTTCCTCCGTGAGAGTTGCACCAATTGCACATCGTAACACATACATACCTCGCACCACAGCATGAGTCATGTACACACGACCTGACCCATTGATGGCCTCCAGTAACCTGCAATTCACCTCGTTAATTACACGGTTTTCATCACTTGGAGTTGGAGCCTTGTTGCTAATTGCCAATGGCGAAACCCTGAAACAAACCAAAGAGAAATTCCTGGGGACAACAACTTCAAACCTTTTTTCCATCCCCACAAGCCCTTCAAAACGCTTGGCCATTTTTACACCACTTCTAATAAAGTTTCTAAGGTTTTCCACTCCATAGCTTCTAAGCACAAGCCATAGCTTCATGGCCGGAAACCCTCGGGTTAAGGCTATTTGCCAGTCTTTGTAGTCCACCACTTACTTTGAATCTGTGGCCTTGTTCCTCAACCCCTCAAGATTCACAGACATTGAGTTTGTCAATGAACTTGGATTCTTAACCCAAAGGCAGCAACAATTGAGAGTAGTGAAGAACCATTTATGCGCACTAAGACTGAACGAATTTGCACCCTCAATAGTCAATTCCATCAATAAAATGACAAAACTCAGGGCAAATGCAAGCATTCCCGGCATATGCAGCGTCCACATGAACCCACATGCCATAATCTTTTGCAACATCGCATAGTGGCCCCAATGGATCAACGGCAGTGGTTGCGGTTGTTCCTACTGTGGCACATAAATAAAATGGAACCAACCCAGATTTCACGTCTGAACAAATCGCCAATTGTAGCAATTCGGGTGAGAGTGCAAATGATGATGATCTTGTAGTCTCAATGGCCCGAAAATTTTTCGAGTGGATTCCAACAATTTGAGAAACTTTTTGGAGTGCGCTGTGTGTTTGATCTGATCCATACACAACTAACTTTCCTATATTCTCTTTACCGATTTGACTTAAGATTTGATCTCTTGCAGCTACCATGGTACAAACTACGGACTCATGCGTACTCCCATGTAACACACCACCACCATTGTCAGAGAAAAGAAAAGACTTGGGAAGTTTGAGCATGTCTCCAAGCCAATCCATGACCATGGTTTCAAGCTCAGTGGCAGCTGGTGATGCCATCCAGTTGAACCCCACGACATTGAATCCCGTGGTGAGCATTTCGCCGAGGAATCCTGCGGTGCTGATAGTTGCAGGGAAGTAGGCAAGGTGGTTAGGGTTTTGCCAATGTGTTATGCCAGGAACAATATGGTCCTGAACATCTTGGAGGATGGCTTCTATGGATTCAGGGTGATATGGGGCAGTTCTGGCAAACGTTTTCGGAGATAGCCTGGTTGGACTTGGCTTAGAACCGGGTGTTTCTCTATGTTTTGGTAATAATCTTCAATGAAGTCTATCATCATGTGTCCTTGTCTCCTGAACTCCACAAGTTCCAGAGGGTTTTTAGTAATGTGGTGGGCAGAGTTGTTTTCAGGTGGATTGTCAATATTTAAGCTACCCATTGGGATATTGAGGACCTACTAAATCTCAATTACGAAAACACGAAGTAGAAGACGAAATCAAAATAGCTTTTGAGTAGTACTTGAGTTCCAGGGCACGAAGATATATGTATTGGTTTGTTTATATAGATGTATTTCAGAATAAAATCGTATCACACAAACAACTTGGGGACATGTGTTCCATATCACTCAACATAATTATGCGTTCGACTTATTTTAGCCTCACACATGAGTAAAATTTCAAGGACTTTCTTTTGTAATACTAAGACTTGCATGCATTGCAAGGCTTGAATGCTCTAACATTAACAAGGAAATAAGAATCTGGCCAAACTCTGGTACTTTGCCTATTGTAGAATTAATCAAAATTCATATCTTAGTACGTTGTTGTGTGGTACAATTCTCTCAAGGTCCAAATCGAGGCACATATAGAAAGTGCGCAATTGCTTCTGCCGAGAGTTTTGGACGTTTTGTTAATTTGTATGGCTGGAGAATAATGATATGTCTTGTCCAATAAATAGTTTTATTCCACTTATTTTTCCAATGTTAAGATAATTTTGTGAACCATTTATTTTTTTATATAAAAAACTAATGAAAAGGGTTTGAAAACTTTGAGTTTTAATTATTAAGACAAAATAAAGGGTAATGTAAATAGTACCAGAATTGACTTTTTAGTGTAAAAATATGATTTTTCGTTAAAGTGAACAGTATCGGGAGCTTTTCATTAAAATTCT